TCACACCCCTTTCATCCCCCGCCACAGGCCTTCTCTGTTTCGATTCATTCGCATCGTCTTTGCAGGGTGTTTGTTTCGTTACTGCTTAGACTTGTCTCTTTTAAAATGGTCCTTTCTCCAGTACTGGATAATCGTTTCCAGCTCTTTCTCTTTACTGTCCATTACACTTCGTTTCATTTAGTGTTCTTTGGCAGTTCATCAGGTCTTACGGTACTCAAGATTCGGGAGATTGAATGTCACCATAATGTCGTCGCTATAGTGACGTTTCAACCCCCCGATGAGATGACATCGTAACAGCTGAAGTTGCCGAAGGACACTGTAAATCGAAGTATAGGCCCGGATTAATCTCTTTTGTCTACGATGGTGTCCGCCCAGCTGAATATCGCACTCATTCTGGTGTTATTTTGAGCTTCATAATGAAAAGCAGATTCTCTTGAATTCATAGCGCTTATTTGTGCCACGAATAGAAGAAAAAAATGTAGGGAATTTGTAAACATATTTGCAAACATTTCGTTCTTATGCAAGGCGTCCTGACACACTTCGACAGCTAAATGAAGTTCGGGGCGTAGGACGAGCTGCGTAGGTCAACTGCTACAAATCTGGTCGATAGTAGTATCTATCGAGTGATTCATCGTTGCAACATACGACCATAAAATAGAGGAAGTTCCAAGAATATAATAAAAGTCATGAGTACTTGCTGATTCTGAAGCTATAAAAGTACTGTGATGTATACGGTAGCTCGCATTTATATTATCGTAACAACACCACTTATTAAGTTTTAAAAAATGCCATATATTACAAGATTTTCTATTTGTTTACGTATCTTAATTTGATATTTATTTCTTGACAATTCATCACAACCTTATTTTTAATCTAGTAATCCCGAGAGACGGTGGTAGTTTTCAAATTTTCCAGCATTTCAAAACATTGGGCCCAAAGAAATCGATGGCAGTAGAACGAGCGGAGCTCAAGTGTGAAACGACTCTCACAAATGAGCCTTGATTTGCGTGGTCTGGGGAAAATTATTTCGGGATAATTAAATACGTAACCTACGTCAGCTGGAAAATGACATTTTTCTCCTTTTCTTTACTTTCCCAGTCTTTTTTCTTCCCATTCTTGATTGTGCGTGTTTCAACCTACCGCATTCCCACTTGCAGTGCAATGAATGATGACGTTTTTCACCTTCTCCTTCTTTCTCCGACATTTCTTGCTTCTTTCCGTCCCCTTCTTCACTCCGTCTCTCACCGCCTTCTTCCTCTCGTCCATTTGTTTTCGCTGTCTTTTCGGTTTTTTTCTCTTCAATTTTCTTAGTCTTTTTTCCGTTCTTCCTCGAATTCTTTTCTTCCATTTTCCTTTAATCTTAGCCCTTTTCATTGCTTTATTCTTCCGCCTTGTCTTTCACTTCAGGACTTCTTTCATCTCCTTCTTCCTCGTCTCAGAGCTTCTCCCGGCTGGGGCGGTGCCCTGCTGCTGGGAGAAACCTGCTTGGAGAAAACCCCGCTAGCCGACAGGTTGTCACCGGATTTCGCCCTACAGCGGGGGGGGGGGGGTCCGCATCTCCCGAGCAAAAGCATGCACTACACTTATGGAGTAAAATACTCTGGAAGTTGACGCTCCCGGAATCAATAACGATAAATCAATCAATCCTTCCTCTTGGTTCGGCCTGGTTTATCCATGATCTCGGCTCCCCGCGTGTCGTCTTGCAGGGTGATGAGCGCCTGCGTTGACCCCTGACCCGAGAGCGCTGTCGCCGGGTCCCCGGGGCTTGGCCCGGGCGCATTGTCTCGGCCGTTCCTTTTATGGGCGCGGCGCTCCGTCTTGGGTTACGACCGCGTCCCGCTGCCCGTTTGCGCCGTCTCCGCCCGTCCCTTGCAGCCTGCGCGCTCCGAAGACGGCCGGCCCTCGAGGTGCTCCTGGTTGATCGGTGGCCTTTGGCCGAGTCTCCTTTCGGCGGATCCCCGAACGAAAGGGCTTACCTTAAGGCTGCTACAGTGGCTGATCCAGGGGGCCATTCCCCCGCCCCGAAAGGCCTAGTGTTCGTTTAACTTCTTTTATTTGGCAACATTGATTTATGTTAGTATCATGGAATTGTTTAAAAATATAGTATAATATAAACTACAAAAATAATATACAATATTATAACAAATGTTTATTATTTTACAAAAATCTATGATGACCCCCTACAAAATGATAGGCTGGATCCGCCCCGGGTTCCACACATGCGGTATCCGGCGAATCCCGAGAAGTGTGGACGGGTTGCTTCCGATTCGCCGAGCTCCAAACATTCGATATTCGCCGTACCCACCGCGTGTCGGTCTTTAGGACTCGTCAACGGGTGCGAACATTCGCCGAACACATCAGCTGTTCCCAGTAGCACATCAGCAGTAGCTCGCTGCTCGGCGAATGCCGAATGTGTGGCGCCGCCTTTTAACCTGGTTGGCGAATGTAGTTCGTGCGCGTATGGGACATATGACTGGATTGTTGAGAGAGGTTGAAATGGGATGTCGTGAAGTGAAGTGTAGAGAACGGGGTATGAGCGAGCGGGTGTGTTCGATGAGTTAAAGAGGGTGAATTGGTGGATCAGTGAGTGAGGGGAAGGATAGATGGATGAATTGCCATGAGCGAGTGGTTGAGAGGCTGTTCGCCTTATCGCTGCGATATATGGTGAATTAATTCAGTTAGCAATCAGTTTATTACAGCTGTGTTTGATACGACTTAGCTTTGGTCAACTTCACTCGCCAGTTTGCTTTCATCGCTCTAAGGTTAGAACACAAGGCCGCTGTAGATGGTACCAGAATATCATGATAAGACTCCCTGATTCGCTTAATTAAAAACTTAATTTTCATTCATAAAATTTATGATAATTGTACCTGTTGCATTTCATTGTAATTTCTGGGTCAGGGTCTCCCAAAAAGAGACGGATTTTTCCCAGATTTTATCTCCAGGGAAAAAATGGAAAGAATTCCTTGCTCGCGTTCCGGAAGTGAGAACTCACAAAAACATCGTTATATTTTCTTACGCAATAGTTCTTGTAGATTTTGTTCATTGCAATTTTGTTTTGTTTCAAGTCAAAACACGCGTTAAGGAGATTTTACGCGCGTTGCGGTCTGCAAATCGCTGAGGGAGCCTTTTCGCCACGTAATTCTGTTGATGTCACCGCGCCGGGGCAACCATTCATTACGTGAGCAAAATGGCTGCTTTGAGTCGTGTAATCAAGGAGGCGGCTCTAGGCGCCGCGAGAGCGCGTTCATTTTCATAAGTAATCGCGGCGACCGCAGCGCCGCCGGCGGCGCTTCTGCTCTGCTCTCCGAACGTCACGCGGAGATCGTCTGTCGCCAGGGCCGTTTCAACAGCTTTTGGGGCCTTTGGGCCTAAGTTAATTTGGGGGCTCCCTGTTCTTACTTTCGCCGCCACCGCACCCCCCCCCATTTAAAGAAAAGTTTTGCTAAAAAAAACTAAACTCTTTCAACACATTCCCACATCACCTAGCAATACATATTGTAAATATTATCCAATTATACGTGACAGCGTTATGCCAATTTTTGCCAAAAGTATAATCTTCCACCACCTTCTTGTACGGTTTTTATTTTATATTTTAAAAAACCGTTATACAGAACTCTTTTTAAGAACTTTAGGGTGCCCTGTGCCCTGGTTCTTCGAGCTCGTGCGTTAACACGGGCCTGTCTGTCACGTGTCATTTTGCGTGAGATGTTGTGTGGTACCTGTGTCTTACATTTCTGCAGCACAGGGGCCTCCCGGCGATATGGTGGCCCGAGAAATGTCATTAAAATTTAAGAAAAAATCGAAAATTTGGTGAAAGAAGGTGTTAATTTGTGTGTTCTCTACAATGCAGGAAAGGGATGTAATTAATTATAAGGAAAAAACACGACGTTACAATTTATATATAGTTTTGGTTGTACAATTAAATGTAGTAATACAGAATTATCATTATCAGTCTGTTATGACAAGGAGTTCAGTGTCAATGTCGGCGCCTCAAATACCTCTGACAACGTGAAGGAGATGAGGCTTTGATGGAGAAGGTACTCGAAATCCGAGGAAGCCACTGAAGCGAGCAAACAGCCCCCGCTGCCTCCTATCAGATGATGCAAATGAGATCAACCGCGGGCTCAGCCCGGATATTGTACTGGAGCCCCAGACTCGGGGCGCAAGGAATGCAACAAGAAAGTTCGCTCGGGAACTTCAGGGGGTACTACCTACCTACCTACACACACTCACTCACTCTCACTCACTCTCACTCACTCGCTCACTCTCACTCACTCTCACTCACTCTCACTCACTCACTCTCTCACACACACATACTCTCACTTTCTCTCTCACACACACACATACTCTCTCTCTCACACACATACTCTCTCTCTCACACACATACTCTCTCTCTCACACACACACATACTCTCTCTCTCTCACACACACATACTCTCACTCTTTCTCTCTCTCACACACACATACTCTCACTCTTTCTCTCTCTCACACACACATACTCTCTCTCTCTCACACACACACATACTCTCACTCTTTCTCTCTCTCACACACACACATACTCTCACTCTCTCTCTCACACACACACATACTCTCATTCTCTCTCTCACACACACACATACTCTCACTCTCTCTCTCACACACACACATACTCTCACTCTCTCTCTCTCACACACACATACTCTCACTCTCTCTCTCTCACACGCACACATACTCTCTCTCTCACACGCACACATACTCTCTCTCACACGCACACATACTCTCTCTCTCACACGCACACATT